AAACTTGATGCTAAAGATGCTACATTGTCTCTCCTGCTATCGGAAATCAAAGGTTTGCGTCGTGTTGTTATTAGCTGCCTTGCTCAAAATTCAAATTCGGAAATTGACGAAAACAAACAAGTAAAATCGTCATCTTCATGCTCTTTGTCTGCTGGTGCTATTGCTTCGGCTGCTGCTACTCATAATTCAGTCTCAGTCACCGGCGCGGGGAGTGCTAAACTACTGCCTCGCTCTGCAAATTCGGAAATTAACAAAAACAAACAAGTAAAATCGTCATCTTCATGCTCCTTGTCTGTCACTGGCATGGGAAGTGCTAAATTACCGCCTCGCTCTGCTAATTCAGAAATTAACGAAAACAAACAAGTAAAATCATATAGCGACACTACCGCTGGCGTGGGGAGTGCTAAACAGCCGGCTCGCTCTGCTACTGCGGCGGGCGCAGCGTCGACCCATGTTACTGCTACTGGCACTCAGTTATCTTCTTTGCAGCCCGCTCAAATTTGGCCATCAATGTTGCTCTCTCACTCGTCTGCTACTGTCACTAATGTAGTGACTGCGATGTCAACTCCGATGATTGCCATGTACTCAGTTATCTGATGTGCTGCCCGATGATAATTCTTATACGTTTACTGTTGCGGAGCCACCTGCAGATGTTGTTAATCCGAACGAATGGATTACTGTGCGTCAAAAAAAAGGGTCTAAATAAAAATAAAAATTTTATTGGTTGTAATGATAGCGGTGAGCTGGATATTGTTGTTAAAAAGAAGTGGTTGCGTGTCTCTTCTTTCAAATCGTCGGTAACTGAAGAAAATGTAATCTCCTATGTTTCACGACATTCTGGCATTCAAAGTAAACATTTTGCGTGCTATAAATTGATTAAGAAAGATGCTTCTGTAGACAACTTGCGTAGTGTAAACTTTAAACTTGGCGTTTCGCCATCAGTTTATTCTAAAGTATTAAATCCAACTATTTGGCCATCTGATATTAAAGTTCGTCCTTTTCGTTTTTTTTTCAAAAGGAGGAAAGTGCAGAAAAAATCAAGTAGCCTACAAGACTTTTAATAAGTCTCTTAGAATTTATTTCCGAAATATGTCTGGAATGCGGACCAAAGCCAAAGATATTTTTCTAGTAACATCTCGCGCCGAATATGACATCTACGTTTTTGTTGAAACTTGGCTTAATAAGGATTTTTTCGATGCTGAGTTTTTTGATTCAAATCAGTTTGTAGTATATCGGAAAGATAGGGATGCCATAAAAACTGGACACCTCAAGGGTGGGGGTGTTTTGATCGCTGTGAAGAGCGGTTTACGATCTTCACTACAACAGTTATCAAATAATGATACTCTTCTTGATCAGCTTTGTGTCTGCATTCTTAGTAGTTTTCGTAAATTATTTATATGTGTATCTTATATTCCTCCGAATAGCTTAGATAGTTTATATAGTGAACATGCTGAAAATATTGTTAATCTTTTTGAAAAAATGAAGATTGTCATTTTTGCATTCTTGGTGATTTCAATCTCCGCGATCTCGTATGGTCTGACCTATAATTTAATGGTATCTTGATACCAACTAATGTTAATAGATCTCATGAAATGTACTTTTTAGATAGCCTTCTTAGTCTTAACCTTATCCAAATTAATACCTTATTTAATAAGTTAGATAAAATATTGGATCTTGTATTTGTTGATGAAAACATAATATTTAATTTATTTGAATGCGCTTTTCCAATAAGTAAAACAGATAAACATCATGTGCCTCTTATCATAAAGTTGGAATTTTATAGCGCTGTTGCTTATGGTAATGAAAAACGCACTTCTTATAACTTTCGTAATGCTAACTATGAAAGGTTAAACGCTGCCATAACCAATATAAATTGGGACTCGGTTCTTAACACCAGTGATTTAGCTGATTGTTTTGAAAGTTTTATATGCGAAATTCACGATGTCTTTTCGAAAAACCTTTCAGTTCTCTCACCTCCTATTCATAAATTACCATGGTATAACAAAAACCTTAAAAAGTTAAAAAATCAAAGAAACAAGTACTATAAATTATTTAAAGCTCAAAGTAATAATTTAGTTTTAAAAGAAAAATACATTTATTATATGAATCAGTTCAATGTTCTCGATAAGTTTTTATACAAGCAATACATTTGTAGATTTGAAACTGAAATTAAAAACAACCCCAAAGCTTTTTGGAAATACGTTCGTTCCAAAAAAGGTTGTACCAATATTCCAACTTGCATGAATTTCAATGGATTGTTGTTGTTGTTGTAGCGGCTACAACAACCCCGCCCAGATCGGCTGATATCTCAGTCGTTGTCGTCGAGTTCCACTAACGGCAGCCCCAAGAAGCGTGCAGCCTCTATGGGGTCAGTCCATCGGGACGACGCCGTTAGGGTTGTGGGGTTTTCCGGGCATGCGAAGAGATGTTTCGAGTCCTGAGGGGTCTCTCCGCATGCCGGACATTCGTTCGGCACATCCGCATTTAACCTACACAGGTAGGAATTTAGCCTGCTGCAGTAGTCGGGGCCTGTCTATGAGCTGACGGGTCCAGAGGTTGCTTAATGAACCTCTGGACTTCGTCCGTCAGTTCATATAGATGCCTCCTGACGTGCCTCGGCCAGGGCTCCTCTGCAAGCAGCTGTCTGTTTGGGTGGCCACATCTGTGGCTCCCAACAAGAAACTGCTTTCAGAGCATCGTGTTGTGCTCCCTAATTGGGAGCATTTTTGCCTCATCGTGGAGGTGGTGTTCTGGTGACATCAGGAGGCATCCTCCCGCTGTCCTGAGTGCTGTATTTTGTACCCTCTGTAGCTTCGTCCACTGCGTCCTACTAGTCCCCGGCGACCACACTGGTGCTGCGTAGTTTACAACCGGCCGGCCTATTGCCTTGTATTTTGCTAGCAACGTTTCTTTGTCTTTGCCCCAAGTACTGCCGGCTAGCGACTTGAGGACCCTTTGCGGCTCTGTACTTTATTGACAATAGCGGTTGTGTGCGCAGAGAAGGAGAGCAGGCTGTCGAATGTTACTCCGAGTATTTTAGGATTATTCACCGTCGGAATTCGTGTGTCATCGACGTGAATTCCTAGCGGTAGCCTGACCTCCTTCGTCCAGGTTGTGAACAGGGTCGTAGAGGATTTTGTAGGGGAGAGGGCTAGACACTTTGCAGTGAAGAAGCGAGAAAGGTCAGAGAGATATCCGTTTACTTTCGAACGCAAGTCATCAATTCCATTCCCAGTCGCCATGATCGAGCAATCGTCGGCGTAAGAGACAATCGAGACTCCCTCTGGTGGTTGAGGGAGCTTTGAAATGTAAAAGTTAAACAGTAGTGGGGAAAAGACACCACCCTGTGGAACCCCCTGTTTCATTTTTCTAAGTTGGCTCGATTTGTTTGTAAACATTATGACGAGTGTCGACCACTCAGAAAATTTGCTGACCACCGTTTGAGCCTCTGTGGGAGAGATGAAGCTTTTATATCTTCTAGTAGCGGGTAATGGCTGACAGTGTCAAAAGCCTTTGACAGGTCCAACGCTACTAGAATCGTTCTCTCACAGGGACGTTTACAGTTAAGGCCACGAGTTATCTGAGTGTTTATGGCGTTAAGTGCTGTTGTTGTACTGTGCACTTTACGGAAGCCATGCTGATGCTTCGCTGGGGTCAAGTGGTTTGTGAAGTACGGGAGTAGCAAGGCCTCGAGTGTCTTCGCTACCGGGGAAAGGAGTGTTATCGGACGATAAGAATCTCCTAAGTTGGCGGGTTTCCCCGGTTTGAGCAGTGGGACCACTCTCCCCACCTTCCAGATGTCTGGGATGATGAGAGTGGCCATGGACAAATTGAGGACCTCCGTTAGGTACGCTACCCCCGCAGAACCCAAATTTTTCAGCATCAGCATGCATATTCCGTCGGGACCCATGGCTTTGGAGGCTTTCGCCTTCCCGATGGCCACCTGAACTTCACCGCAAGTGAAAGCAAGGGGGCACAAGTTGTTAGCAGTTTGTGCAGCCTTCTGGTCACTCGACGCTTGGCTTTGTCCACCGGAGGATGCAGTATGAACTGCCGGCTAAAGTAGCTCGCGCATCGCTCGGGGTCGGACGAAGCATGGTCGCC